CCGGCCCTTATGCCTCCTTGCCCTTCCGCTTGCGTCCTGCCTTTTCTGCCTTCAAGTTGTTGCCTTCAAGTTGCTGCTCGCCATGCTGCCCTAGTGCTTGCCTTGCCTCGCTGCATTGCTTCCTTGCTACTTGCCTTGCCTTCCACTGCCCTCGCTGCCTTGCCATATACCACCCCTCCCACCGTCCCACCCCATATCCTTCAACCCTCCCACCCCTTCCACCCCTTCTGTCCCTTCCACCCCTCCCAACCCACGGGCCCTAGTACTTGCCTTGCCTCGCTTTCTTCCTCCCCTGCTGCTTGCCTTACCCTTGCCCTTGCACTGCCCTTGCTGCTGTGTTGTATACCACCCCTCCCCCCCCTCCCCCCCCCCCCCCCCCCCTCCCTCCCACGTGCACTCCCCCTTGCCTTCCTGCCTCTCTGCCTTCCTGTGCTATGTTGCTTTCTGTCCCTTTGCACTGCATTTTTTTTTTTTTTTTTTTTTTGCACTGCATTCTTTGCTGTGCTTACCCATTCACAACAGGGTAACCGTTCCAAGCTTTGGTTAGCATTTAAATTTATTTAATTTATGAGAAGATCCTGCAGAATCTGTGCAGATTGAGCATTCATCCTCACGATGAGTCAGTGCAAGTCTGACAAAATAGTCCGTCATTATTCTCGCTGTTTTTCCATGGATTTCCTATCGGGAAACCGCATCGAAGTTGACTTAGCGAACTGAAACATCACAGTAGCTAAAGGAAAGCACATGAACCGAGACTCCGTTAGTCTCTTTTGTGTCATCATGATGTTCTTAAATGTTATCTGTTTCTCCGTCTCTATATCAGTTTCTGCATATGAGTGGGGATCTCTGGGAATAGTCATGGCCAGCCTATGTTGATTTGCAATGTGCCCAGTCGTGATAATCAGTTGTCACTCGCAAAGACAAAGTAGACGAACGCTGCTGATAAATCATAATAATAATGATCCCAAAATGAGAGAGAATACATACACAGACGAGAGAGGGAGGAGGGAGAATAGACTTTGAGAGGGTGGAAGAGTCTCCTCCCTACAGCCCACTTCCTCTTCGGGCACTTCCTCCTCCTAGCAGCATAATCGTGTCTCAATCAGAGATCCGGACATCCAAGACAATGTAGACCAACAGTGCCACGTGGCACCAGCAGACCAGTCATCAAGCAGCAGTGTGACGACGAAGTTGAAGACACCAGGTACGTATCACGACCCCAACCACAGTCCTGAATCCTCCTTCCGAGTACTTGTCAAGCAGAACAGCAATACAGGCGCCCAGTGCCTTCCACCTCAGCAGCAGTCCTACGTGGCAGCGGCCACGAAGATGACATGTGGCATCTGCCACGTCGACAACCCCTCAGATAGTAGTGCGCCAGCCAGCATGCTGGTCGCAGAGCACACTCAAGCCCAAACCAGTGACGAGCGCCGGTCGTCCAGTCCTCCCAGCAGTGTCTCACCAGCAAGACAGCATGACGCAAGAGCGTCGAGTCAGCATAGACTCCAGACGAGAGTCCAGATGTCAAAGCCAGGTAGTCAACTCAATATGTAGTGTTGACGGCAGGGTCTRGACCCCAGCCTCAAGTCAGCAATGGCCGAGATCAGATTGTCGTSGACRGCCTGGATYGAGTTGAAACTGTATCCTCCTTGGTCCACCAGTTTGACTGGGTACCTGCACACATACAAGTCAATGCACACGACCAAAGGCCTGGGCGAGGTACCTGGACCGACAGTTGGCTTTGACCTTTGAATTTCCTGCTGTGCCTGGTCAAACAGCATCTGCAGCGGCCTGAGGCCGAGCAGCGCGTGGTCGCACTGTTTGCTGGGCCTGGGCCTTGGTTACAGCGCCCAGGCCGCTGATGAACGCGGTTTACTGCAGATTTATGATAGCAAATGTCATCTGCATACTCAATGGGATACAGAGTAAGGGGAGTGTGGTTATGCCTGGAAGCGAGCACCGTGAGATATGTGAGCCAACATAGTCAGTGCTGCCATAGATTGCATGAACGAAAACATCTCCATAACAACAGTCCTACCACAGGATTGTCTAGGGTTTTCTTAGCATATTGTGGTATGGGTTGGAGTTCACACACACACACTGGCATCCGTATGTATTGTCTGTCTTCCCTTTTCTGTATGTTTCGGTTCATGTTTTTCTTTTTTCTTTTTTTGTTTTTCTTCCCTGTTGTTTCTGAGTACTTTCTGCGTGTCCACTCGAGCACCCCCAAGAAGTGCTAAGCAGTCAGTGACGGCGGGTTGTTTTAAGTTCCTGCAGGTCTCTCTCTTCATGATGTCCGTGATGCATATGGTCATGCATATGGTCTATGGGTGATGATAGACTTCCATTGGAGTGACTTCCTGGCTCAGCATTCTGTGGGGTTCTTCTTGTGGTGTGAGTTGGTCATGGATTCCTTTGGTTTGCGTTGGAGATGCGTGGACTGCCTCTGCCACGCTCGTCGCCCCTCCGCTGCCTTACTGCCAACCAGCTTGCCGTCATCTGTCCCTGCAGGTTGCCTATTTGCCGTGTGGTTAGGTTGCTGTGTCAAAAACAAACATATATAACAGTTATAACTTTTTTTTTTTTTTTTTAATCGTCACTGTATCGTTCCAATTTAACTTATAAGTTATAACTTGATTTGCACATAACAATGAAAACATATATCACAGAACTATTGACTAAGAGCGTAGGCAGGTGAAGTAGAAGAAGAAATAAGATGAGCGAAGAAAAGAAAAATGAAAGGACAGACAGGCAAAGAGATAGACAAACCAGAATGACACAAAACAGTGTCCTCTTATTCTTTGTTTCACAGTATTATTATTTCTTTCAGTGTTTTACAAAAAAAAATACACTGAATCAAAGGATAAAAATAAAAAACAAAGACAACATTGAAATCATTCAGTTCCTCAGTCTTCTTTAACGCCTCCTCCACTATGCCTAACGTACAAGGCTCGCCACGTTGATGAAGTTGAGTGCGAGCTGCCCCCATCCCCGTATGCCATAAGAGCCCACTTGCACGCTATGGGAAAGAGGCAGAGTGAAGGAAGAGGTGTTAAACACAAGGAAGAGAGGAGCAGAAAAGGACGCCGATAGGCAGAGGGAGAAAAAATAAAAAAAGTGACCCAAACATCTTCTTTCTTTCACTGCATTCTTCTTTCTTTCACAGTTTTGCAGTTTTGGTGAAGAGTCTACCACGCTCGCTTTTCAGCGCACCTGCACTTCCTTCTTCATTTTTCATCTTCATTTTCACCCTTCGGACTTTTCTTTTGAGGGTGTTAGGGTGCAGGGTACAAACAAAGTAAGATGACACAAACTTATGTTCTTCTTTTACTGCATTCTTCACAGTTTTGCAGTTTTAGTGAAGGGTTCCCCACCTTTGCACATTCTTGTACACTCTTTTCAGCGCACCTGCACAGTTTTGTCAGGGTGCAAGGTACGTCTAAGTAAGACCCTCAGGACAGATAGGACAACTGTCATAAGGATGCGGGTGATGGTAGCAGCCCTCCCGCTGATCAACAGGACGAAAACCATTCAGGTAAGCAACTTCGTCACAGCAGGAGCCAGGGCGGCTAGCATTAACCATACCTCTGAAGCATGCACGACAGAGGGCATGCCGGTTGCAGGCCATGACGATTGTGGGGCGTTCACCATCACAGTTAAGTGCGAATTCACTATAGCGCCCACAGGCACAGATGGGACATACTGCATCTGGATGTAGAGGATGTTCACAATCCGGATACAGGTGGCATCCCTACCGACAGCGGGCCCGGAAAATTATACGGTTGTAGGTGCAAATTCACTATAGCGCGCGCAGGCACAGATGGGACATACTGCATCTGGATGTAGAGGATGTTCACAATCCGGATACAAGTGGCATCCCTGCCGACAGCGGGCCCGAAAAATTATACGGTTGTATTGATGTCGACAAAGTCGATGCTTTCCACAACCAAGTGTAACTGTGTCAGTGATCTCACAAAGAAGGGGGTCATAAGGTGTTAGTGCAGCATGTGGGGAAATGAAGACTAAAGCAGGCACGGTGACAGACATGGAGGCAGGCACGGACACAGACACAGAAACGGGCATGGAGACAGGTGTGGAGGCAGGTACAGAGACAGGTGCAGAGGCGGGGACGAAAGTACACGTAGTACCCATAGAGTCAGTCATCTGGAAGGAGACAGACATTGAAACAGGCACAGAGACAGGTATGGAGGCAGGCACAGAGATAGGGGTAGAGGCGGGCATGGAAGTACACGAGGTACCCATAGGGTCAATGACCTGGAACAGTTGCAGGTTAGGGTAATTACGCACGAGATCACAGATGGCAGTAATAATTTGCACCATAGCACCGCCATTCCATAATTCCCAAGAACCAGAGGCACGGACAAGAGCGGTGTAGTGGCCAATGGCATGTAGAATATAGGCACAAACGTGCGAACAGTGGTCCGGGTCGCCAGCCGAAGGGGCACGCTGCATATCAAGCCGGCGCCTTATCAAAGCAGTCTCCCACACAGAGACATTGAATCCCCCATGTCGAGTGTAATTTACTATCCTATGGGGGATGCAGAGTCGGGTTATCGCCATATAACTCACGTTCCTGAGTATCAAGATCGGAAGCAATGGCCAAGAAATCAGAATGAGTATATGGTTCCCGATGATAGGCTTGCAGGCAGATGTTAGTAGCAGCGAGGCCACACAAATTTGATGGAGGCCAGTCAGGCGGATTTTCTACAGAATCTCCCACAGTCCCCTTGCCAAGTTCATCCTCGGATAGCCCCTCGCCATCATCCCTCCTGTTTTGTGTTTGCCGCGTTGCAAAAAGGTCTGCAGTCGAAGAGCGTTGCAGGCATGGTAAGGATGCTGGGGCGGCAAAAGACGAGGACGGGATGTTGGGGAAGGCCATGGTGGGGAGAATGCACGGGTTCTTCTTCGTCCAAGAAAAGAGTGGAGGAAAGAGGAGTAAGCTGAGGTTGGGAAGTAGGTCGAAGTCGGCGTCTAGGACGGCGAAGTAGGCTTTCTGCAGGGGCAAAACATGATGACGGAGTCTGTGTGGACGAAGTGGTTTGTGGATTAGGAAGAGGGGTAATGGATGGAGACAAAACCAGGGGAGGTAGGAGTGGTGAAGACAGGGGTGGTAGAGTTGTCGGAAGGTGGGTAACAAACGACGATAAAACCAGGGGAAATATAGGCGGTGAAGGCGGGGGGGATGAAGTCAGGGGTGGTGAAGTGGCTGAAGCAGAGATAGAGGGGGCAGTCGTAGGTGAGACCCGAAGAGGGGACCCGATACACCAAAAATGTGCCTATACTATAGGCTATATAGTATATACTATATAGCACTAAACCGAATGGGTATTAGTTTCATGAACTTGGAGCGAGTGGCAAATTCTGACGGAAAGTTGAATACGTAATTCAGTGTTCCAGTAGTACGAAAATTTTGAAAACAGAATTTCACCAAAAAATAAGGTACCCAAACAACTCCGTGTTACTTTGCGCCCCGCTGCACATCCGTGTCCCTTGTCTTCCCGAAGTTCCTGGCAATTTGCTTGTACGCCGTGAAGAAGTTTGGCTAGTGTGCAATGAACCCAGATCGTGAAGGCACTTGTCAACAATGCCAGCCCATATAGATATCAACCTGCTGATGAATGTCAAATAATCATAATTGTGTCCAGATAGAATGAGATGGGAAGTCATACACAGACGAAGGAGAGAGAGGGGATAATAGATTGAGAGGGGAGAAATCAACAATGCTCACTCCTGCTTCGGGCTCCCTTATCTCTCGCCACCTCAATAATCAATAACCCGAACACAAATCTGAAGTTCTCTCTCAATGTGCCACGTGGCGGCCTGTCTTCATCAGCGAACTGGAGAATGTCGACATCAAGATACCAGGTACGTATCTACGATAACCCCACAGTCTTGATCTCCTTCCGAAGTGACGATGAATCAGAACAGCACTATCAATCATATAGTCCCGCCACGTCAGAGTACATGTGGCAGCAGCCACGTCAGCCAGCCAGCCACCATGCCAGCCAGCAGCGCGTCACCGTCTCCTCTCATATGCCAGCATAGAGCCAGCGTCCAGCCAGTGTCGCAGCGTCGCACTAGCGTCAAGTCAACGCGTGAAGTCAGCATTGACGCAAGACTGAATGAACGTCAAAGCCATGAAGTCAACTCTTATGTAGTGTTGACCCGGGGTCTGGACCCTGGATGCTGTATCCCTCAGCCATCCAGATCTCAATGCGAATGAGGGCCCAGATTGGCCTGAAACCGAATTCCATCCGGCCTGGATGCTGTCTGGGTACCTGCGCACAACAAGTGAGTGTATCCAACCAAGGGCCTGGGTGCGGTACCTTTGACTCTACAGTTGACTTTGACTCTTGAATTTCCTGTGTGCAGTGTTCGGTCACACAGCCACACTCGACAGACTCAGGCCTGGGCGTGTCTTGGTCACACAGCCCAGTGCAGACCAACTCAGGTCTGCGTTTCCTGGGGCTCTTACACCCCGTTTCCCTTCCTCCCCGTTTCTTGGACACACTGAGAAAAAAATTGCAACAGAGTAAGTTATACTTCTCCCTCCCCGTTTCCCTTACTCCCTTCTTCCCTCCTCTTGTGTACGCACTACGAAATGCATACACCGGAGCGCACCATGAAGATAACAGACAAAGGGCCTCGCTCAACTAATCTCTCACATGCACCAAACGACAAAAAATAGGGGGACTAATGTATCTTTCCATGTTCTGGCAGAAGATTCATTCTCATTTTGCACATTTGGTGGGTAGTGGACTGAGGTCCAAATAGAAGGTGAAAGTTTGCTGAAAAATCATAAAAATCAATAGGAGTAGACCCTCCCCTTTACTCTGCCTCCTTTTTTTCTTTCTTTCTTTTTTTCTCTTTTTTTAAGTTTTTTCCCTTTTACTCATCCCCCTAGTCCAACAAGTCATCTGTATTCATAGATACAGGAAAGTGTACAAGTGTACGACCTACCGAACAGAACAAATCCTCTTCCCACCCAAAAAGAAATAAAATAAAAAAAAAAAAAAATTCAAAGAACAGATACCTGTTGATGTACAGTCGTTCTGCCTCCTTTTCTTTAAAACTTTTTTTTTTTTTTCCTCGTGTGCAAGTGCCAAGTGCACTATTATAGCACACACTTGTGTGCCGTACCAACTGAGCTTTCTCGGCATGCTTGGCACCCGCCACAAGCCACAGCAACTGGCCCCACAAACATGATGCTCGGTCCCTCTGCTACCGGCTGTCCCCTGGCCGATTTCCCCCCCCCACTGGGGGTTCCCTGAAGGCAATAAATAAAGGCCACCCTGGGCTGAAAAGGCCACCAGGCGTCAGATTACACACAAATTGAATTTACCTGGGCTTGTTAGTCCGATGATAATACCTCGAAGGCCATCCCCCTTCCAAAAAAAAAAAAAAAAAAAAAAAAAAAAAAAAAGAAAACACACCAGGGAAGTGGGCAGATCACGCAGAACCACAGTCAACGTGGCGAGCCTTGTGCGTGAGGGGCAGAGTATAAGGGGAGCTGCAAGAAGACATCGAATGGAAACGCCACAAAAGAGAGCCGAACTACGAAACGCGAAGGAACGCGAAGGACTGCACAAGGAAAAGTAGGCCATTATAGCACACACCGGGGAAGTCGGCAGCTCGTGCTTAACCATAGTCAATGTGGCGAGCCTTGTACGTGAGAGGCAGAGTATGAGGAGAGCTGCAAGAGAAGACGTCCAACGGAAACGCCGAAAAAGAGAGCCGAAGTACGAAAAGCGAAGAGAACGAACTGCCCCACAAGGAAAATGCAACACAACTGTTTTGGTGTGCTTCATGTTGCTTGCTGTAGAAAATCCTTTTCTTTTCTTTTTTTTTTTTTTCTTTTTTTTTTCTTTTTTNGCAAGAAGACATCGAATGGAAACGCCACAAAAGAGAGCCGAACTACGAAACGCGAAGGAACGCGAAGGACTGCACAAGGAAAAGTAGGCCATTATAGCACACACCGGGGAAGTCGGCAGCTCGTGCTTAACCATAGTCAATGTGGCGAGCCTTGTACGTGAGAGGCAGAGTATGAGGAGAGCTGCAAGAGAAGACGTCCAACGGAAACGCCGAAAAAGAGAGCCGAAGTACGAAAAGCGAAGAGAACGAACTGCCCCACAAGGAAAATGCAACACAACTGTTTTGGTGTGCTTCATGTTGCTTGCTGTAGAAAATCCTTTTCTTTTCTTTTTTTTTTTTTTCTTTTTTTTTTCTTTTTTTTTTTCCTTGGTGTATTTTATATTACTTACTATAGAAATTTTTTTTTTTTTTTTTTTTTCAAAAATTCTAAGGTCAAACTGTTTCGCTGTCAAAACCACGCAAATTTGGTGGGAAAGGCATTGTTCTGCTGACACTTCACACCCCCCTCCTCCCACTCCTCCCCCACCCCACCCACACACACACACACTCACACACACACATATATCATCCATAAGAGGCACACGCAGACGCACACACAGAGAAGCTGAAAGGACAGGAGCAGGAGAAAGAGAAGGCCACACACACATATCATCCATCAGATGCACACGCAGACGCACACACAGAGAAGCTGAAAGGACAGGAGCAGGAGAAAGAGAAGGCCAAGCAGCTGAATGAGGAGGAGGAGGAGGAGGAGGAGGAGGAGGAGGAGGAGGAGGCACACCAGGTGGAAGAAGAAGGGAGAGGAGAAGAGGACCACCCGGTCTGGTCTGCGCTGGCATAGTCATAACAGTGGAAACAGATACAAGAAAACAAACCTTAAACCGCCAGTACACGACCCCTGCCTTGCAAGCAGATTTCTTCATAACCTGCTACTAAACTTTCAGAGGCTCGGGCGAGCACACCACAATTATGGCTGGCGGCACCAGCCAAAGAAAGAAAAAGAAATGTGCCGCTGGTGGAACGAATGGGCCCCTCATCCCAAACCATGGGTGGAATCTCTAGGCAGATATTTTTTCATGGCACTTGACCCAATTACTGAGGACAACAACAGCCAAAAAAAAAACACTACTCCTCTACAACATACATGACAACAAGCACGGGGCAACAGTCAGAAAGACAAAACATTCTAAAACAGAAAACGTAAAAGAAAACAACCTTCTATACAAATAGAAATAACCAAACCACATCAACAAAATGTCAATACCAAGCAGCAGCTTCCAACCCGAAATGATGTCTTCGAGTAAAATGAGCCCGCTATGCAAGCGGGCTCATTTCTGAGAGTGCATAAACTTTTCAAACAAGGCAAAACCTGCCCGCTATGCAAGCAAGCAAACAGGGCCGAACGTGT